GTACGCCTCCTCGGGGTCCAGCTGCAGCTCCAGGATGGCGCGGTCCACCTTGTTGATGAACACAACAGGGCGGATACGCTCCGTCAGTGCCTGGCGCAGCACCGTCTCCGTCTGCACACACACACCCTCCACGCAATCGACAACAACGAGGGCACCGTCAGTCACACGGAGTGCCGCGGTCACCTCGGAGCTGAAGTCCACGTGCCCGGGAGAGTCGATCAGGTTGATCAGGAAGTCACGCTTGTCGTCGGGGAGGTCGGCGATGATCTCCGGCGGCACGTGGTAGTGCATGGAAATGGCGGTTGACTTGATCGTAATACCACGCGCAATCTCGTCGGCACGGGTGTCCATGATGCGCTTGTCACCGGCATCCTCCATCTTGATGATACCGGCAGCCCCCACAAGCGAGTCGGACAACGTCGACTTGCCGTGATCAACGTGTGCAATCACGGACATGTTGCGGATCTGTTCGGGGTAGTCCATGAGCGCACGGACCTCATCAACGGTGAAGTTTACCATCTTGAATAGCTTAAAGCAGCTGCTGAATCTGGAAAAGGAGTGAAAGGAAAGAGAACAGAAAGAAAATCACTCAAGGAAAGGCCCTTGACACACAGCAGAACCAGCACCAGAGGGAACGACAGCATATGTCGTTTTGATCCAAGCGTTGTTTGTTCTCGTAGTTTTTGTTTTTGTTGTTTTTCTTTTATTTATTTATTATTTTTTTTTTTCTTTATGAGGCCCATTGACGTGCGTGAAGTTTTAATGTGAGTGGCTTAGCGTACAGAATTTGTGACCTCAAAAAGTAGTTTTTATCCGGCATCCATCCGGGGAATGTGTGATCAAAGTCGTTTAGCACGTCCGTTGCAAGTCTCTTGGAGCATTTTCTTCCCAGGCCATCTGCGTTGCCTCCTGGTTTTGTTGCAGCAATTATGCTTTCATTCCAACCACGAACGTTGACGAACTGAACGTTGTGGTCTCCAAATAGATGGAGTAGGGGCAGAAGGTGTTCCACGGTGGGAATGCTGTGCTCATTGATGAGAAGAATTCCGTTAGGCGCTAGAATGTCAAATGCCTGTCGGATAAGAGGCATCGTGTTCACCATTTTTCCACTGAGCGGCTCGAAGAGATCCATAAAGATGAAAGTACACTTTTCGGGGCACTTTTGAATGGTCCTTTCAGCCGAGTCCAAGCAAACATGCGTATTCGCATTTTCCTTCAGCAGGCCGGTAAATCGGCACGTGCTTACTACGGCGGGTTCAATTTCTGCAATGTAAATGTGGGCGTCTTCCCCCAGAATATAACGAATTCCACGCTCCATGCTATTTCCACCCATTCCAAGCAGCATCACCGCCGAGTTGGGTGGAGGAAGGATGGCACGAGGTTCGGTAAGAAACCCATCCCGTTGAGAAATGTGCAGCATACCGTAGACAAGGAAGGCGAAGTGCACCATGTTGCCCGCCACACACTGCAACTGTTCGGGTCGCTGCAGAAGCACCACCGACTGCAGACTGTAGCTGCAATGGTCCCCGACGAGGTGGACGTTTTGGTGAACAAAATGCATCGAGCCAAAAGTTAGATGCACCTCGACGAACTCGGGAGGTAAGTCGTTTGCGCGGTTTCTTTTTGAAGGTCTCCGCCAACTCACCAAAACAACCTCCGACTGCACCCAAAGTACATCAAACCCCACAAAGTGGGAGCATGCCTTGCGACTCTTAATAGAAACATCACACGAAAAAACTCGTGGTCTCCGATGGTATGCCTCGCGCAGCTCCACAAACGACTTCCAAAATGGAAGGGATCGCAGAACTTCTTTTTTGATACCGGCCAACGCAATATCTTCAGAAACGGTACTCCTGTTCATTGCAAGCAAACTAGTAGTTTTGGGAAAAAGGAAAGGAGCGTCCTCTCCCTCCCTCGCTCGCCCAATTCCCCTTCGTTGCAAACCCTAATTACGCTCAAGCAGTGGCAAACAAAGAAAAAAAAAATGTAAAAAGCGTCCCTTGCCGGCGCCGCTGTTTCCTCAGGCCTCAGAAATAATAAAACAAGACGGCAAGAAAGAATAAAAGTGCGTGAACGTGCATGTGTTGCTCTTAAAAATGCCTCACATCTTCGCCCCTCCTACTTCGCGGAAAGCGGCCGGGGCGGCAGTCGACCAATTGAAGGCCACGCCTTCAGGAATACAAGCCCTCTAAGGCACTCAAGCGGCATGCCGCCCGCGTGTCTAGAATCAAAGCTCTCGTTGGGGTTATCGCCCTCAAGCCAAAGCCACGCAGAGGGACGATCAACGCGATCGAGGCAGTCATCCCAATCGCGGGCCCTCGCGTACTCCGCGAGACTGTCATAGATACGCGCCTCACGCTCTGCGCGAAGCTCCTCGGAGTCGCCATCCGTCTCCAGCAAAGGAATCTGCTCCGGCAAAGCCCCTGTAAATTGATCTTCGTTCCATCTTCTCATAACGGACTCGTCCGTGGTGGAGCGAATCACGCGTTTGCATACAGTCAGCTCTGGCGATATATTCATGACAATAACATCCCCATTCCGCACCAACGGACGTTGGAATAAATACTGAAGAACACGAAGCATACCATACGGGAGAAACAGGACATAGTCTCCTGGAATGAGCGTGGGAAGCATAGAGCGCCCCTTGACGGAGCAGCATACATCTGAATTCCAGCCAATAACGACGCCTAGTATTATATACGGCACGTCGTAACGAAGCGCACGAAGGCACCAATGCATTTTACTAATGCCCCTCCCCTCGCCAATACGACCACTTCCGTTCTAAAAAGAAAAAATGCAAATAAAGCAAGAACAACACCGTGTTAAGGTCCGTCGTTGCATATTCTCTCCTCCTCATCCTCAAAGGAGATAGAACGCCAAAAAAAAGCAAACAACAACAACAACAACAACAATAACAAAATAAATGGCAACTCTTATTTATGTTTCACTCCAGCTCCCAGCAAGATTTTTGGAGCCGCAAAAGGTCTATTAGCTCCCTCCGAGCCTTCCCGCAGCCCGTCCAAGATCTCAAATCATGCCGCGACAAAAACATGGCGACAGGTGGTGGCATAGCGTAACTTCCACAACAAACGAGGAAAATAAAACGCGTCAAACACCAACAATATTATAAAAACAATGATTTTTTAAAGAATTGAAACTCCGACGGTACAAAACAGATTAAATTGGTGTGTCACGATAAATGTTCGTGGAAAGGGACGCTCAATGACCCTGCGCATAACACATTCTGTAAGAAACACTCGAAAAAAAAAAACATGTACACATATGCGCAAGACGCTCCCCCACCCTTTTCCTCTCCTCTATATTCAGTTTCCTTCGGCCCCTCACCCGCCCATTGGAGAGGTGAGGGAAGTAATGGAATTTCCTTCTATGCGCCGCCAGCGACATCCGTGTGGTGAGCGGATCCAAAGAAGAGAAAACAGACACACACACACACACAAGATGGAACAAAAAGTCACCTCATTCGACAGTAAATTTAAGTAAAATCCACAGTTTTTTCTATCGTCACTCCCCGCCCTTGCGCACAAGTACAGAAAGTAAGGAGTCAACCATGCACAAAACAAAAGAAAAAAAAGAGAGAGAGAAGAAGAGACTCCACCAAAACCAAAATCAAGTAGATGATATGTGATGAAAAACATCAAACACTTTTCGCCGGAGGAATAGGAGGTCGTCGGTGCCACGTGTGCGTGCCGTACTTTCGTAGTGCCGCCTCATCCGGCAAAATTATTCCACGGCAACACTCCGAGCGGCAACTACAAGAAAAGGGTCTCATAGTGTAGTCGCAGAACGTTGAATAATCCATTGTAAGTTCCTCTTCCTTCTTGATGTCTCGGGCTGCAATGACGTTAAGTGAGTGTTCCTCGCCAAAAATGCAGTTCGGATCACAAGAATGATTGATGGGACGCCACTCACTAGGGTTGCTCTCCCAAATGGCGTATACATGGCCGTCGGCGTCAAGGGGCCACGCGTATTCCGCAAAGGTCACCTTTTCCTCCTCCCCCCAGTGTTTATCCACGAAGGGTCGCGTGACAATGGCAAAACTACGTCCCTCATCCTCAAACACGACCTCACCTCTCTTGACGTCTTTATTGGCGCAAACAAAATACCCCCTTTCATTACCGCCATACCGCACCTCCGCGACAGGCCTTTTAAAACTCTGTTCCCCACAACGGACGCATTCCTCCAAGAGCTTCTTGTCAGAGAAGGCCAACAAAAGCTCAGCGTTCAGGTCTACCAAGGAGCAGCCAAGTTCCACATCCTCCAGAAATAACTGATCCGAATAAGGGCTCTTGTTAAAACACAGCTTAGAAAAGCCGGAATTATTCATTACAGCTGTTGCAAAGAAACTGGAATATTTTTCTATAGAAGGGGTGCATTGCTGAAGCCACACAGCATCTTTGGAGCCTTCCTGTGCGATGGCAACGCAACCGGAGGCCGAAACCAAAGTGACCAGCTCCCTACTCTTCGTTCCGTTTACTTCCCATACAAGTACTTTTTCGTGACTTTGTAAAACTTCATTCAACACCCTCCGCAAGGTCGGCATATCCGTTACAACGGAGCCAAATACGCACTGAAGGGGAGACAAAGTCCTTAATTTCACAGGAAATC